TTTCACATGTTAAATAAATGCATACCATTACATATTTGGCCAAATAAATGCATATAATTGCATATTTGGAATACAAATTATGCATATATATGCGCATATTTTGATTGAATTTAACTGCATATATTCCGTGCTTTAGTCATGATCAATGGAGTGGAATTTTTTAACGATTAAACGTTAAAAATTTAACGTTTCCTCCGCTGTCGCAAAAAGCTCTTCCACACGTTGGGACTTACATAAAAATACCGCAACATAATCGGACCTTTGTCGGATTTTCTCAAACATTTTCTTATTAACTCTTTCAATATGATCAGTCAGTTCCATGTTTTCCGGATCAGTTAGCCAATCCAGCAACTCTTCTTCATCATCAATGTCTCCATCGTAGTTTATGTCCTTTCCTAAAAAGATTCTGGTGTGTTTTTAAAAGTTGATGCTCTCAAACACTCGTATACCTTTTCGGAAATATGTGACTCCCGGCGGGTTTCTGTATCCATATTTTTTCGCCATTAGTTTGTCCTTCATTTTCACAATTTTGATTCCATATTCGCTTGCTTCGTCGTCAATCAGCTCAATGTGCCGCAATATTCGTGGACTGTCTGGATCGTTCTCCTTATCTAGAAGCAGGCGACAGCATTATTATATCCGAAAGAATCTTCAATATGCAAGTTTCAATGACGGTTGGAAATTGTTTGATAAATTTATAATTCGACAATTTTTTCATATGATCGTGAATTTGTTCAACGAGAACCTAAAGACCTGAAAACTCACCACTTGCATGCAATGGCAGCAAAAACTTTTGTAATCATTGAAATATGCGCAGGGCCTCAACAAATGTGTTTCCTTCAAGCAATTGCTCTGTTTTTGGGTAATCGTTTGGTAAAAAAAGTAATCAAATGTTGGTAAACTGTACAAAGAACTATTCGTTGAATTACAAAAATGTGAGATTTGTGGGAAATCGAAAAACTAATAATACTTTGCCCATGGGCCAAATCATTGGTTTCCTGGTCGAAGTTAAGGTTGAAAACGATCCTTTTCAGGAAACGGTTTAAAATGCTTTAAAAAACTGACAAACTTCTTTGCAAAAAAATGCATTTGAAGGGTTGGCAATGATTTGTCCCCTAAGGAGCTCGAATGTTTTTTTAATATTTCTTTTTTATTTTTCAATGTAAAAAAATCACGGATTGAAGAACTTGTAAAACAGCTGCTATTCATAAGAACCATTTGAGTATAACTCTGCGAACGGCTTTTGGATTTAGAATATATTTCAATGCTTTGCCTCTTGCCTCTTCAAGACGGCGAGTATGTTTTCAGTCACTAATATCTTAAAACTTGAAGCGAATACATGATTGAATCAATCTCCTACATACAAAACCTTTTATTCGGGGGTTTTGGCTGAAATTTAGGGTATTTAACACAAACCCAAAAGTTTACGCAAAACATTCAACTAAAAGGGTCTAAGGTAAATAGCTGTATTTTTTTAATATGGATTAAACGTTCCCAGATCTATCGCTTGATCAAAAACTGTTAAATGTTTTTCAAGGTATCAAACATATCTCGGATATCGTTGAAAATAACTGAATAGAAAAAAATATTATTATAACATAACATATAACATATATAAACATGCCAAAAACTCTTCTTTCAACCTGAGAAAATATTGCCTTTGCCCTTTGAGATTAAAATATAAATTGATTAATTTGACCGATAAAACCTTAGTTAACCGGAATCGAACTAAGATTTTTCGTGCTGGGCGTCTCAAGAACCTTCCTCTAGTTGAGAATTTTTTAAAATTAAGCCACGATTTGCCTCTGAATCTTCATGTTTTTTGTATTTTAACTCGTTAAGTATTAAACCTCGTTTCTCGAAAAGAGTTTTTGATGTTTTCGCTCATCTCGTTTATCTACAGAGTGGCCTCAAAAAAATCAAATTTTTTGTATTGCAGTGATGTTTTTTTCCCTTTGAACCGATTAGTAAAATGTAAGGCTTATGTTGAAGCCAAAACATCGAAGTCGACTTGCAAAAATAGTTCAAAAAGCAGGCTGCGTGAATGAACGACAATATTTGAAACTGGACTTCAATTTAGCTGAAAGTCTGCTAGAATCACAGGTTTTAGCTTCAATATGAGCTTTAGATCGTTCAAATCGGATTAAAAGCAGACAGTTATGCAGGCTTCCAGCAGCCGAAAAAGTTGGGTTTTTGAGACCACCCTGTAAATAGAAGAGATGGCCGAAACGTTCAGAAACTATTTCGAGCTAATTGGTTTAATTTTAAACTTTTGGTGTCGGGAACAAACAAAATATTGTCCACTAGGAGCATGCCAACCTTTGCATCCGAAGTTGAAGTTCTACAAATTTTAATTGGCCACCCTGTAAAAAATGCTGCTTAATTTTTACTAAAACATTAACTAACAGAAAACAAATGGGGCTAAATAATGCTTCAAACACAACCAACGCCACTCGAAAAAATCATAATTTATTCCGAGCTATTCGAAAGTTAGGGCAAATTTGGCTGGGTAACGTTCCTTTTGTTCAGCAGTTTATTTCAAAACTAATACTTACAGAAAACTACAGCGAGGAACTCCTTAGTGTCGATGTACTTGAAAAGTGTTTGTCGGTCAATTTCTTCGATGCTTTGATCGTTTTTTTGATCCATCATCCAGTCCAGTACCTCGTTGACATCCAGCAAATTTCCTAAATTTGAAACATTCCATTAAAGTGGTTTTATTATCGCATACGCGAAGCTCATCAAACAACTTGGTAGCAGAAAAGTAAGAACTTACCTCAGTCTGATCGAGCACTGTTTTCCAACGAATTATTTGCTAAAATTGAAAATTGTCTTCGAAAAATAGGTAGGGTGTTGGCAAACGAAAATCAAATTTCCCAGAAAGAATATCGTACATATTGAAATCAAAGACATGCGTAACAGTAATAGAAAACAATTTATTTTCCATTAGTTTTTTTATAAATCGAAACTTTTTGATGTTAAACATGCGAGGTGCGCTTTTTTAGCGGCAGTGATGTGGCGCTGATGATGACAAATATAAAACATAAACTTCATCCATGCAATATCAACATTTTCCGCTTTTTTGTTTGGAGGATTGGAGCTTATGATAAAATTACATCGATTGCAAGCCCATTTCTCGAAACAACATTTGGAAATTGTTCATATCTAGCAAATCAATAATAAATACATTCCAAAAGGTAACCCTTATTAGTTTTTGACGAGATGTTAACATTAATTTGAGCCATTTGAGAGTCAGAAAACTACATGAGGGTCGCTTTTCAGTTATTTGTTTTTTTGTAATTTTAAAACAGTTTTATAGATAAAACTTAAATTGTACGACAACCACTAAAAACGATGTTCTAACAAGGTGTTAGTAAATCTAATGTAGAATAGCGTTTTCAATAGCGAATTATTTCCTAACATGCGCTTAGGATTAATTTTACATCTAGTCTAACAAAGTAAATAATGAAAACAAACATCCAACGAAGGATTTGCTAGTTTTCCGATTTGCAAAAACCCGTTCACAGTTGGAAGCTGATTAAATCCCGCTGGTTGGCATTAGACAGTGCAAAATTAGATGGAAAATTGCTTGTAAGTACGTTGGGAAATGTTTAAGCGACACATTTTGCAACGTCCAATGCACAAGATATAATTATTTTCCAGTAAAAAACGCGCTTTTGGTGGTGGAGTGGAATACACGATTAAAAATTAAATAGGCGACGTCAACAATGGCACTTTTGCAGAACTAATCGATATGAAACTAATTGTTTTCGGTGGTTCATAGAACCCATACGTTCAGTAGCGGGTTGGCGGTTTTTAGTATAAGGCAACACATTTTTAACAAGGGTTAAATTCAAAGAAATTTATTTATTTTTTTGGGTTTTTTGCAGGTAGTTAGAGAAAACCAGTTAATGAGCGTAAATAAAACAGTCCTGATTGATTATATTGAACTTCTTTGATTATGTGAAAATAAATAAAACTCTTATAAAATTGGCAAAACGTTTCCAAAAGCATTTGAAAAATATAAAAATGGATGAAAACGCAAAACGGGGGCAATAGATGGGCGTATAGTTTAAGCAATAACGATTGTGCTTGAAACAGCTTTATAGAGGACAGTAAATACATGGTTTTGAATATACATTGTCCTAATTCTAAAGCGCACTCTCATCGGGTAATAATACAGTCAGAAAACGCAAATTAATTTTTTTATATTGTTTAGTTTTGTGTACTTTTAATAATTTGATTATATTATTGTATGCTGTAGTCCTTTTTGTTTTTATCGGTGCGTTTCTGTGATTTATCGTTTTTAACGTTTCTTGTCTTAAATTGTTGATGATCATATCCATATTAGGAAATGCTGATTCGGATATTTAACTACAAAAAGCTGAAGCTATAGTTGATTCAATTAATTTTAATTATTTTACATCGACATGTTGAAGATCTCGATTTACTGATTCCAATGGGGAATTTAAAAATCTTATATACCAGGTGAGCAAATTTAAGCCTCATGGCGACCTAATTAACTCTTTCGCTTGGTCATTGAGTTAAATCATGGCGAAGTTGCGCAATTTTGTCCTTAACTCCAAATAATTGAGGAAAAACCTGAATTTTACATCGCAATTATCGTTTCATCGTCGCAATCATCGTTTTAAAAAATTATCATCGGGGGTTTCAAATTCGTAACCAGATGTGTAAATAATGTTTTTTTGAGGGTCTTTAAATTGCTAAAAAATGCTGAATTAATTTAAAACATATCTTTCATAGTTGCATTCGTAGAAGAGTCTGAAATTATTGCAATTTCTCCTGGATTATTTAAAAATGGGATTTTGTTAAACGCGAAATTGTCCAACTTTGCCATAATTTAATCGACACTGTATCTGTATCTTTAACCACTTTGGAGATACTAAATGTGAGGCTCAAATTAAACTCACCATGTGCTCTGATGTGAAAAATAATTAAGAAAAATTAGATTTTTTCTTCAGGGACACTGCATATCGAATATTTTAAATATGCGGTTTAATAAACAGTTTGCAGTTTGTTTTGTATGAAATTAACTGAAATTGTTCTGAGTATAAATATATATATATATATATAAATTCTAGTGGTCGAATAAAATCTGTCTCCTTATTTGTTTCCTAAGTTTTTAATTTATTGATCGTTTAAAATCGAAATCCTTTCAATTTTTTCTGAGAATCTGAAAAAGTTATCGAAATTTTCCCGAAAAATGTATTGAATTTGAAATATTGCAGAGCTGAAAATGAGCCGATGAGTTTTCATCAAATGAAAACTTTTGAATAATAATGAATGAAACTTGCGTCATCATCAGATACGCCAAAAGTTTCTGTTGTAAGTAAGTACGGATTTTGACATGTTTTTTGAAAAACCGGTTTTACGCCCAATAGCTTTTATCAGCGGGGGTAAACCTGAAAGCAACACTCCCGAAATTTGTAGTTGTTTTTCGTCCAGTGTGGTAAAATAGATTGGGAATATATAAAAAAAATAGGTTTGGGGAGTGTTGTTTTCAGGCTAGACCCAGCGGATAAGAGCTAATGGGCTTGAGACCGGTCCTGGAAGTGCCTGAGATTAGCACATTTCCAGATCTATACTTATCAGAGTGAAAAGTTTCCGGAAGAATTAAAGTGGTTCCGGGTTTAAAAAACGAACTATTGTAGAAATTTCAATATGATTCAAGGTTTCGTAATTGATTCGGCTTAAATATTTAAAAAAAGTTTATATTGCCTTTAAACTTTTCATGGGCGTTAGCAGTTTGATAAAGTGTTTTATTCCTTTTCCTGCAGTGACTTCGCATTTAACAATGTTGCTTAAGTAAGGACTGTTTGCAACGCGTGAACCAAAAATTCACGATATACGATGAATAGTTGTTGATGTTTTCGGATGATTAGTCTCCAAAGGTGCCGATTATTCACGGTAAATAAAATTCGTAAAACGGGACACTTAGTAACGAACTAAACTACTCCATTAATTGAAAGATAGAGGCAAAGAACTACGCTACTAAAGAGAGATACAGTGCGGATTAAACTCAAAGCTCAAAACAATAGCATCGCATAGAAAATCAGCATTGTGGACACAGCATTCAATATCAGTAGACAGTTGCATGTAGGTCAAAATCAATCGGACGGCTTATATCAATCAACATCGATCCCATTCTCAGGCTGAATTACCATGAAAAATAACGTAGGACAATGATTAGATTGTTACCACCACCATATATATTTACCAGTTCCGAAAAATCCCTTTTTCGGTTTGTTTGGTTTGTCTTTAACCGGAGGTGGCGAACCTTTATCGCGCCCTTTAACGTCATGATTAGCCTTGGATACTTTAGCTAACGGTTTTTGAACCGGTTCTGGTTTTTTTGGTGGTGCAGCCTTAGGATTGGCCGTTTTTGGGACCCCTTTGGGACTGGGTAGTTTCGGTTGAATTTTTGCAACTTTGCTGCTTTTTGCCGGCTTGCTGGGACAGCATTGGAAAGGTTCATAGCTGGAGGCTGAGGGGTATTTTCCTGGTCTGCCTCCCATTCCGATGTAGAAACAGCCATCCCCTGTGAGCAGAACATAATGTCAGAATGTTTTTGTTTTACACGAAATGTTTTGTTGGTAAATGCAAATTCAGAAAACATGCTTTAAGTTGGAAGGGTGAATGAAAGACGTGAGGGTGAATGGTTCCGGACCAGCGTCCGGTTGTGGCCGGGGAGATTTCGAGCTCATTAATAGCCCAGAGGCTAGTGGTGGCATTTTTTCAAAATCCCACCGTGATGGTTAGTAAAAAAATTAATGGGAGTCAGTGAGAGAGAAATATCGAAATGGTCTAGTGGAAAGTAGTTGAAACGCGTCTGACACTATGCCTGCTAGCAGAGCGGCTGTGCTTGGCTTTCTGCCATTATTGTCTTTATCAGGGGTTAATTCCGTGATTGTTTCACCCCCACTACTCCTATGCATAAGCGGCATATTAATGTTTATATTGTGAGTATTTTTTAATTAAATTAAAAACTACATGTTTTTCTATGGGGTTCTTTTGAAGTATCTACGGATGGATCCATTGCGGGGCGGCTGTATTGGAAAATGTGGAAATGGCTGGGCGCTGAATTGCACTTATATGTTAACTGATGGTCAATCACCAAACCATTTCCATCAAACCAATAGGTAATAACCAAATCGTAACCTCAAACATCCGATGCTATCGTCTTCAGCTTCAGCTTCGTCTTTACCTGAAAAGCTCTTAATCAATGCCGAGAAAGTTTGACCTCCGCTTTCATCGTCATCATCGTCGTTTTCGTCGTCGTTATCTCCGGAGTCATCATCACTATCGTTATTGTCGTCATCATCATCACTATCATTACCTAATAAAACGATACAGCACATGCAACCTCTAAGAACCGATAACTCTCAGGAGTGCTCAATTGCTTTGTTACATTTAAATTAAATCACTTGAGCATTCCTAATTTCTTAATATGCTTATTATAGTAACCCTAGTTTTGTCATGCAAAGAACGCACCTCGCATTTCAGCTTTAGTGAAGCTATCAAGCGAATTTTGACTGAGAAATTTCATAAACTAGGAAACAATCCGAATCTAAAGAAATTTTTACGAAAATCGACTATTATGGTTCAGTGGCAATTTCTGAAAAGATAAAAATTCCTTTAGATTTTTAGATATTTCGTCATGGGGTTAAGATGATTCGCAAGTTTATCAAGACCAAAAAAGACAAGAGATATAAACAGGAAATGAATGGTACAAGTTAATTCAAGTTCTTACTTTTCTGCTCAACAAGCCAATCCAATACTTTGTCCTCGTTTTTAAGATTTCCTATAAAACAAAAATGTTACTTTCAATTCCTAACATGCAATGACCCAAATATAAGTCAAGTTAAATCATGTTTATTGACGGTGTCCCATATTAAGCAGGACTCTAATTAATTTTTTCATTGTTGGTCCATTTTAGAGATGTTTTACCACGTGAGTAACTGGGAATTTTTTTTTATTTCAAACTTCCTTGTTAAACTACTTTGTTTAGATACGACAAAATTTGCAGAATTACATTTTAGTTGTACAATTTTTATCGATTCAGGCCTTTCATAGTGAAGTGTTTCTATACGTTCTGTTTTTTATGCAAACCGCTTTCTTAGAAAAAATTGACACAACACTGAAATTTAGTACAAATTGCCGATTTGAGATCCATTTAGAAACAGCAAAACCCCATTTTTAAATTTGTCAGAAGTTAGCCCTCAAAAGTTTTTTAAATCATATCTTTAAAATAGGAAAAAATTGGATGACGAGTGGTGTGGGCTAATTTCACAGGCCAAGATGAAAACTGTTTGTTTGAATAAGCAAACTTAGAAATTAGGTTGTAAAGATATGGGGATTTATTTAGGATTTTATCCTCTAAAATACACTTGTAAATTAGGAAACTATTGAAAATGGCTTGTCGCACCGACTAGTTTGGTAAAGCTGGCTAAAAACGAACTTTTAGCTTTAAAAATTCTGGTCCGCATTAAAGCTGTAAAAGTTTAAAGAATTCATATATCGAATCGTCTGTATCTAAATAATCTAAGAAATTTAGTAGTTCCTGCAACTCTTTCTTATTCGAAAAGCTTACTTTGAAACCTGGTTGTTTTGAGTTCTTTGTTGTTTTGTTTTAACTCAATTTTTACGATAACACGTTGAAATTTGGTACAAACATCGCGTTTGGCAATTTGAGCTCCACTTTTTCGGCTACATTCTTTTATCCGAAGATATTTATTTGGAGGCTGGAGAAAATCGCACAATTTTATGAAAATTCAGACATCTTATAATTGTCCACTTTATAACTTTCTGACGTTCTCAAACTTATTTAGAAAACCAGATGAAATAATTAATTATTTCCTCAAATTTTTGTCCTTGTAAAAGAAATAATAGTTTATCTCCTGACCAGTAATGCAAAAGCTAAAGATCCTGTGTAATTAAACAAAATTGTTAAAATATTATGATTATGAAAGAAATTGCCGAAACACGTAAAATTGCACTACAAAAACCGCTCTATCTATCTGAAACACAGTCGTTTTACGACAGTTTTGGATAGATTGGGCTGATAGCTGTTCTTTATTCATATATCATCATAGAAATCATAAATAAACATACAAATTAGTAAAAAGATTACTAACTTAGTGAAGAGCCAATTTAGAGTACTATTTAATATGGGGCACAGTGAAACTAGAAAAAAAAAACGTTTTGCACTGGACGATTCACGATCGGCGTAAAAAACTTTGGCATCCTGTTCTCCAAGCGAAAATGGATTTTGGATGTTTAAAAATCCAAATAGATTTTAATCGTTCGTGTTATAAGACTGGAAATAATTCTTCTTATAAAGCATATTCGTACTAGTGGAAAATACTGAAATGCAACTTCGAAGAAATATTGAAAAATAATGATAATAAAATACCTTTGTATAAAAAGCGCGTAGTAATAAAAATAATTCTATGCTCAGATTTCAATCAATTGATATTGAATGTCGTTAGAAATAAATGGGTCAATAATACAATTTCCAGCCACTTAAAAGAATGCAATAAAACAATGCAAAGTATAGAATAATATTAACAATAATAGCAGTGAGAACATGAATATCCGAGGAAAATTTGAATGGAGAAATTTTTTAATTTTTCTCATTGACAAAACGGTTGGATTTAGTTAAACGTTATCAAGCTGGTTTCTCCACAATCAGATTTCGGTTCACTGATCTTTTTCAAGTTCTTGCAAAGTTTAATTCTGGATTTATATTAATACTGACGCCTCGACAATTTTTATTCATATTTATAGAGCCACTTCAGATATTCAGGTAGAAAGAATACAAATTGGAATTTATGAATTTTTGGTTTCGAATTTCTTTTTGAAATCCAATCCTGTTGCTTCAATTAGACTCGATAAAATATTTTATGCGACTTCAATCGAAGGCTTTTAAAGCCAATTGCAAATTGAAAACATTTTGAACATGCAGTTATTGGACTGCATGTTGAATCAGATGCCAAAGTATATTTATAAATTGCGCTTTAATCAAGTAAAATAGAGATTTTCTTACCATCGTACATTATGGGCACACCGGTCTCGTAGTATACCAAGGCTGGGAAGCTAAATATTCCAATTTCGGACGCTAGTTTGGCATCTTTGGATTTCACAAATTGAATGCCTAATAGATAAAATGAAAGAAATATATTAAATTGATAAAGTTATTAACTCTGCATGATTGCAACAAATATAGTTATCACAAAGTTGACGAATACGACTGCTACTAAATACAGAAATGAATTATTACGCACTATTTAAGGAAATCAAACTTCTAACAAATTGAAAATATATTATTATTTATAACTAACTGAGATGAAACAGAGTTACTGCACCTTTCTTTAAATTAAAAAGTCAATGTTTTCAGTGTAACAATTTTGACACTAATTGTCGAAATAATTAGTAATATTGTTTTATGTACAATTTAGCCGATATCCAAAAATAATGATACATAGAAGAGCTGATATCTGAAATGTTTGGAAAAAAAGTTAAAAACATAAAAAATATCGAAATGTTTTCCAAAATAAACTCACCATGTCTATCAGTATCATCATCGATTGTTTCTAACTCTTCCAATATCTCATCACACTCATCGCACTTGTCGCTATAGAATAAAACAGCAAGATGTTCAACGTCATTGATAAGCACCTGAAGTCAAAGTATATCCTTATTAATTCGCCTGAATGAAAGAAAATTTGAGATTCACCTGTAAGGTTTTCCTATCAACATTCTCGATAACATCAGGAGCCGCATCCTTCAGATTGAGCACCCATTCAAGTAGAGCCTCCTCGTGCATGAGGTCGCCAGTGTAGATTTCTCTGAAGCGATTGCTGAAAACCATAAGAAATTCTTTGATAAATCAATTATTTTCAAGTAAACTATTGATTTAACTTCAATGAAATACACTTTTGTACTTGAGTGTGCATATGAATATTTCAATACACGAAATACATGGAATTTATATAATAATAGAAGATTTCAACAGACCGCGGAAACTTAAAAAGTTGTATATAGATTTCTTCTTGCAATAGGAACAGGTGAATTAACAAAAGAACTTAATCGAAGACGCAAATGTTACATAAACAAATCAAGCTTGGCTTTAAACAAATAAGCAACTAACCGATAAAATACCACAGATGGAAGTGCAGGCAAGTCGTATTCCTTCTGGATACCGTCGTCTGATATTTTAACGAAATCGATATCCTTATCTTCGCAGTCATCGTCGATATTTTCCAGTTCTTGTAGGATTTTCTGCGATCTTTTGTCGCCTTCTTTATCTGGAAGGGCCAGTGAATTGCCGTTATTTGTGAATCTCTAACCCATTCCCAACACAACAAAAACTTACAGAAATAGACTACTACATATTCGTTTTCCGCCAGGATTTTATCCAGCATTTTGATGTTGACTTCTTCAATGCGGTCGGGAATTTCCAGAGTATTTTCATCGGTTAACCAGGCTAGGACTTCGTCTTCATCTTCTATATCTCCCTGAAAGCGTAGTGATTACTACCAACGATCTAATTCATCAAATTTCTGTCATGCAGGGTGCAAAAAGTGTGTGATTTACCTGATAAACAAGGGGTTCTTTATTTCTAAAGAATACCAGTTTCGGGAAAGTTTTGATGTTGTATTTTTTCGCAAGTACCAGGTCCTCGGTCGTGACAAAGATTATACCATTTTCATCCAGCTCATCATCGATGTTTTCCAGTTCGTCCAGAATGGCGTCGCATTTTTCACCCTCATCGCACTTTCCGCTGAAGTAGACCACCACGTACTCATGCTCATTGATCAGATCTTCCAAGATTTCATCGGTCACTTCTTCAATGGTTGCTGTGTTCTTTTGCTCAATTAGCCATTGTAGGACTTCGTCTTCATTCATCAAATCTCCCTCATAGATGGAAGGGATCTTTTCCTCGAAGTAGATTAAAGTTGGGAGATGGTCAATTCCGAATTCTTTAGCTTCAGCATCGTTGTCGATCCTGACAATTACAATTCCTTCTTTTTCCAAGTCGTCGTCGATGTTTTCCAGTTCATTTAGCACTCTGATGTCCTGCTTATCATCCTTATCGTCTAGAAATAGAGAAAAAGGTTTGAAATTGCAATGGTTGGCAATGAATCAAGAAATGCTTACAAAATAAAACGGCCAGATATTTCTGGGACTCAATAAGGAGATCCATCATTTCATCTGTGATGTCGGGAATTTCACTGTGCTTTTTTTGATGAATTAGCCATCCCAGCAGCTCATCTTCCTTCATTAAATCGCCTGCAAATTTATCATTAATTTCTCAAAGTTGAACTGCTGAACATCTTTTACTCCACCTTCATACAAATGGGGAATTTTCTTCTCAAAGAACACCAAAGTAGGGACGACATCAATGCCGTATTCCTTGGCTTCATCATCATTGTCAATTTTAACAAACACGATGTTATTTTGGTCGCATTCATCGTCAATATTTTCCAGTTCGGTCAGGACTTTTTGCGATTTCTTTTGGTCTTTATCGTCTACATACAAACGTTCTTTGTTAGACAGTTCAGAAGCCAAGTAAATTGCGAGCGTTACTTACAGAACAACACAGCAACGTATTGCTTTTTCGCTAAAAGCATATCAAGCATTTCATCAGTCACGTCTTCGATTTCGTCGTTTTTCACTTGATATTCGAACCATTTCAGAACTTTGTCTTCATCTTCGAGGTTTCCGTCATAGAGCGTGGGGATGCCACCTTCGAAGTAGACTAGCGAGGGGATTTTGTCGATTCCTGGTAGAATGATCTTGATTATTTTAAGTAATTAGATTCATTTGCCGTTTATATAAATGATCATCGAATATTAACAGAAAGATAAAAAGTTAGCAGAAACTCCAATTTTTATCGGAATTTTGAAACACTGGACGAGCTGGCAAAACGCTTTAACTGAGGCAAGACACAGCGAGTAGCTAAACATAAAGCAAATGTTGAAGAAGGATCGCAATCTTAATGAAATTGCAATAGTTAGTTTGAATCTTGTAGATAATATTCGCCTCATGAAAGAAGGATACAGAAGTACCTACTGGTAAATATGGTTGTGGAAAAATAAATTATTCAACGAATAGCTCAAGTGATAAAAACTAAAATTCAAAATAAAAATACATTGGGCGTTTTAAAGTGATTTGCAGGCGAGAACCATCGCTAGGCGTTCTAGAAATACAAACAGGAAAGTTGCTAATTAAACGTTAATAACATATGAAGAAAAAAGTCGTCTACAGAGAACATATTTAACATTAACAGTACAATGGAAATAGAAATCACATACTCATAGACCCTTTCAGAAAAGCATTATACCAAAAACACTTTTTTGAATTTCGAAATAGAGAGAAGATTCGAATATTGCTTCGGTTTTCCCGTACAGTTAAGGTCAATGTGAAACGCAATTTTCGCAAAAAAATACGTTTTTCAAGACAAACAATATGAGGGAACTGTACATTTCACTCTCTGATCTATGATTATTTTACAGTGCAATACTTGCCATATTCTTTAGCTTCATCCTCGTTGTCAATCTTAACAAAAACGATGCCTAGTTTGTCGCATTCATCATCGATATTCTCGAGTTCGTTTAGTACTTTTTGCGATTTTCTGTCGTCGTCGTCGTCTAAATCAAAAGATTGATTACTGTCTTACATTGCTTCATTTTTAAGCACTTACAGAATAAGACTGCCAATGTTTTCCCTTCGGCTATGAGTTTATCAAGCATTTCGTCTGTAACATCTTCGATTTCATCCTTCTCCAGCTGGTCGACTAGCCACTGAAGGAATTCCTCTTCTTCCTCTAGATCTCCATCGTAAACATTCGGTATGCCTTTCTCGAAGTAGACCACAGAAGGCAGTGTGTCCAATCCTAGTCGATGCATTTCAGGTACATGTGGAAGTATATTTTATTACTTACCGTATTCATCGGCAGCTGCAGGATCATCAATTTTGACAAACTGAATTCCATACTTGTCGCAGTCATCATCAATGTGTTCAAGTTCCTCCAGAGCTTGCATTGAGTCTTCGTCTCCATTGTCATCTGTAATTTCCCACATTGTTTATTCATTTAAATTCATGCTTCATACGTACAAAACAAAACTGCGAGATGATCCACACTGTTGATCAGCGTGCCAAGAGTTTTCAAAGTTACGTCTTCAATAACATCATCTTCGTCTCCGGTGCTTTTGTTTTGCACCAACCATTCCAGTACATCCTCCTCCTTAGTTAGATCACCTAAAAAATTGCTCAAATAATACGTTTTAAGTTTGTGGAGTGAAATTAATTACCTGAATAGATAATTGGAATTTGATGCCTGTAGTATACTAAAGCAGGCAAAGGTCCCAGATTGTATTCATCAGCGAGATTCTGATCGTTTATCTTCACAAATCCGATACCCAGTTGGTCAGCTTCGTCATCGATGTTTTCCAGCTCTAGAAGGACTTTGGAGCATTTCTTGCATTCTGGTTTATCTACAATGTTCCATATTGTTATGTATTCATTTGAATATTTGCCTCACTGATTTTAGGAAAATATCGACAAAACTCAGCCTGTAGAAATGAATAAAGCTTAATTTTTTATACTAGGACCTACTGTCGAGTCATTCGAGAAAGTCAATAGAAGTTTTAACATTAAATTTACTAGGGAAATTCAGTTTAAGCTTTAAAAGCATTGATTTTTTTATACAACCCTATAAAGCCTTTTCAAGCTGTTTTATGTTAACTTCATTTAACGTTCTTTTTTCTACCTTAATCGAATTTTTTCGAACACTTTTTTTGCGCATTACTTAAACAAAAACTAGCTGATAATGAACATCTTACCATTAATGAATATACACATATTACTTTACTTTCTCGTTTTTTCGAAATTTTAAATTAGGTTAAAATTGTTCTGTCCGAATTTTTGTTAAAAAATGGAAGTAAAAAACCCGTAAATATGAAGTTTTTCTAAGACTGAAAATATGGAAAAGGAGTTAATAAAGCATTGACTTAAAAAAAGTAGTTTTAAAATTTTCAATCCGGGTACTATTTTTTTCTAGCACTTGACTAAAAGTAAGTTGAGTGAAAATAATCGGTTACATATTTTCTCAGAATTGAGTCATAAATTGTAAAATGTGTTTTATCGCTTGAAAAACAGTTGTTTATAAAAAATGTGCTCTGAGGAAGGTAAAAAGGAAAAACATTAAAGTATATTTGAAATAATTCCTTAGGTTTAAAATATCTTGACCCTCTGTATATTCGCTGTTTCTATTGTCTCGTCCCCCATAGTTTTTAAAATATTATGTGACCTCACCACATCAATTGCTGATAATTCAATATTAGAACAAGTGACTATTCGTCGCAATACGTTTGTTATTGACCTCAAGCGACAAAGTTTGTAGGTACAAAAATTTCGGTTTTGCTTAGCAATAATTATAGGGTTGATTAATTATAACTTGAAGCTAACGATGAGTGAAACACTTGCGAATGTTTATTTATTCAAAGTTAAAAAATCCTGTTAATTCATATATGTTTCAACAAAAATAAGCTGAGAATCTACCCAAAGTATTACATTTTCATTTGATGTTAATGTAAACGATTTTATTTTGTGAAAATCTGTTATTCGATTTTATAAACTATTGCGTCTATAAATGTGTTTGATATCTTGGCACAAAAAGGTACACATATTAAATTACCTAATAGCAAGCATTTGTCTTGGACATGATTGGATGTGTTATCGTTAATAAGACAGAGCAAAGTAAATACAAATGACACACAACCCATTTTTGCAGTGACGAAAATATGCTATAAATTATATTTTCTTTGTTGGAACGCTGCGAAAATTAATCTAGAATGGAAATTTAAACCATGCCTACAGGTAGAGAAGATACGATAGTACAAAACACACCAAAAGATACTGAAACAATTCAAGTGTAAGATTGATGATAATAAAACAACATTGCAAGCGTCGTACTTACTAGATCCTGATTTCTGACATTTATCAGCATCCGGACCTAAATGTAAAATGTTACAACAAAAATATTAGTAAGTATATTAATGACCAAATCAGTATTAGGCAACTAATTTCTGTTTATTGAATTTGCCTTAAATATTAGTTACGTAGCCAGAAGTCCTGTGTTTTTAGAACAACAATTTGTGAATCAAATTGTGTAGATGCTCAATAGTACTGATGTGTAAAAACTGAAAGTTTCAACATGCTATATGTATGATTATTGTATTATTTTTCGATTTAAACCAAGTTAAAAAATTTATTTTTATGAACGTGCACTCTGCCTTCGGTTCTTTAATGCAATCTTTAATTAACGCACAATCATGTTTAGATATTTTTCTTGGTCATTGAAACTTTTAACGAGTATGGATAGCCAGTGCCTAAAAGTGATCAAAATTATGGAAAAATCATATAAAAAAATAAAATATCCAATTTACTAAAAAAGTTAGATTTCGCGGCCATAGCTTGAAAGTGGTGAGTGCAAAAAGTTTGCTACATAACAGGTTATGCATAGATTTTGCGCTATAATTAAACTAAAAGTAATTACGTGCGACTCTGACAATACGGTGAAAAATAATAAGACAGTCAGTCAGAAAGGGCCTTGTTTTATATTTTGCATAAAAGTTTTTATTTTCACATAAAAAGTAACTGCTTTGAGTGAACTTTACTAGGTATAATTGAACTCTAAAAGTGTATTTGCATGTTTGGTGTATACAATAGTGTTTCATACACAAACAATTATCAAAAATTTCTGGTTAATTCACTTGTTGTACGTTATTTAGCGGCGTTACAATTTGGCCTCAGGTAGCGAATACTTACAGAACAAAACCGCCACAAAATCAGTCTCCTGCACGATTTTTTCCAGGATTTTTGCATTGACTTCCTCTATCCGATCCGGCAAATCCATCGCTTCCAGACTGGTGAGGAAGTCAAGCACATTTTCTTCGTCCATCAGGTCCCCTGCAATAGAACAGGTCCAAAATTAGTTGCAATTAGGAATCGTCTGCTCAGTTTTATAATAGCAGAATTTTCGCCAGCTGCTAAAAATTACATAAATAGCATATGGAAAGATTCTAAAAACACCAAACAAGTGGCATTTTCTGAAAGTCTATTTTAATCTCGCCGCAAAATCCGTTATGGTGGATAGTTTAAAAATAGTTTCAAATCTAGAGCTATAAGACGAATGCTATATATTTGGGTTTTGATGACCCACATTTTCTCAATGTTAAACGAATCCGCTCGCATTGCAACCTTTCCTGGAAAAATATTATTAAGTCTTCAGTCAGAGAACAATCATCATCCACTGAATTTTTATATTTTGTAGGAAAACTGCCTTGTCACTTGGCAAATAGATCTTTAAATTATTTATACTGTGGTAGGGTGTAGGATAAAACGCGCTGTATCTGAAATTGTTCTTCAAATAGAGAAGATGAGACGATGGCTCGATTTTGCCAGAACCGTTTGAAACTGAGAGTCATGTTTAAATTTTGCGTTTTGCCTGAAAACTGACCACATTTTCCCAGTGAGGTTTCACTTCAGAATTGCGTTAATGAATTCTCTATCCACGGGTGTAAAAATGAGAGCGCTAGCTCAATTTGATCCTGAGATATAAACAAAAAGGTGGCGTCATGTTTCGGAGCCGATGGATGGCCTTATGTTGTGCTTAAATCTGTAATATTCCATTTTCGTTTTTTGGCTGAAAACTGCCAAATTTATTCACTTTTGTTTCTAGTGGCAAACGGGTTTTTATTTATCTATCTATATCTAAAAATGGCCGGAAAACGACCGCAATTGTCGACATTTTTCTTGAGATATGACCAAAAAGCTGGCAAAAATCCTGCGAAAATTTTCTTGTGGTGAGTTACTGTGACGGTGCGTTGGGTTTTTCATTTCGACAACACTCACAAAAATTATTTGAGTTACCCACGACTTCTCTGAAGCCTACGACTTCTAGAAAAAAAATTCTCCCTGATGTTTCGCAAGTATGAGTGACTTGCTTCCTCAGAGGTGTTTCCCTCGAAGGCTTCCACTAAACTGAGGTATAACTCCAGTTTATATAAGCTTTCGAACGAAATACTTCTGGAGATGCAAGCCACTCATACTTGCGAAACCTTAAGAAGAAATTATTGCCACAACGCCCTAAAAGTCCGAAAAGCTCACCAGTTTCAAGTGCTGACCGCGAAAGCTTAACTTTTTTATTTGCAAATCTTCCATTTTTTTAAAATAATCGATTATATTAATGTGTTGTTTTATGGGAAAATAAACGCAATGAACGAGGTTTTATTGTAAATTTTCAACAAATAACTTTATAATCACTTTTTTGTATAATCACAGGACAATTTTCTTTCAGCAACATTAACCAGGATGAAAACTATTAAACTGGAAAATCAAACAAATTTGTGGAATAATAGAAAGCGAACGGCAACAAGCTGTAAATTTCGCACAATTTAATCAATTTCAATCAACATCAGTTTTTCAATAAAACGTTTTCAAGACATTAAGGAGAAACAAATCAGTCAATTTTTAGGTGCAAAATGAAAGTGAATAAATAAATTTCTAACTTGGGTAATAGACATGCAGATGGGCATATTTCAAACATGTTAAGTTTAAATCTTCAGCTCAAGCGAAATTATTGATTTATTGGCAAAATATCATGTAAATTGTATTAGAAAAACGACGTTATTTATATTTAAAGAGTTTAAATGTTTAAAGTTGACGATGTTTAAAACAATTTTTAATATTTTGGAATAAGCCTCTAGTCGTCGATGAATTTATTTAGCCCTGCATATTACAGTATAAATAATTTAAATTAAAAAAAATACACCTGCATGGTTTCATTTTTTTGTTGAATTCTAATTTATTTAAATTTTGATATATTTCATTTATTTTCAAAAAAATGTTCATTTAAAATGAAATGAAATCAGTCAAGAAAATATCTCAAAAGCAACGAAACTATCTGATCGGCCATAAAGTTTCAACCTTTAGCAATTTTCCTAAATTGTTAGAGATTATACATAAATTTCCACCATACTGAACTAAGCAATGCTTTACCCTCAATTGTAATGCGACTGTTATAAGAACAAAAAAAACGAACAAATGTGATAAGATCACGGACGTGAATTCACATTTCATTGGCTGAGGACTGTTGCTAAGAGCTCTGCTTTAGTGCTTCAAACTGGTGAGTTTCCAGCTTTTAGGTGGTGGTGGAAAATATTTCCCAACTTAATTTCCAAGGAACAAATTCTTTGAAGTTCAAGAGAAAAATTCATTTTCGCTAGAGGCCCGAAACACACAAGTTTCTAGCAATGGCCGCCCGTACCTAACTCTTTGATCTATTTACCCATTTAAGGACTTTTTCACTTTTAAGGTGCAATTTAATCGAAAAAAATTAAAATCTATTAACGAAAGCACAACACGATGGCTCTAACTTTCAACAAATAAATGATGTTACTAATACTGAATGCATGCCATTCAATTCACTAATTACATTTATTGATAAGTCAATTATGGGCCAGAATCAATAAGAAAAAGTTGCGAAATAATGTCAAGTAAAATAATTTGCGAGCGAAATTCATCATCCAGGCAGAACAATTAAAAAGCATTCTAGACGGGCTTTGTGCCAAAGAAAATTTTGATGCACCCGAACATACGGTTTCGTTCAGATCATTTAGCAGGATTGTATTCCTAGGACAATATTTTCCCCGTTTTATGATTCATTAAGAAAAATCAATTCAACGTGTCCAAATGTTTGCCAGTGAAATAGCGATGATGACTTACCATCGTAGATGATCGGCTGTTTGTCCCTGAAATAAGTGAGGGCCGGAAATTTGTTGATGCCATACTGTTTGGCTAATCGTTTGTCGTTAATTTTCACGAAATCCACCCCGAAGGAGTCCGTGTCATCGTCGATCTGCTCTAGTTCTTCTAATACTTTGTCGCATGTCGTACAACTTCTCGTATCTGAAACAGAAGAAACCCATGTTTATTTCCGAGCTCAAAAATCACCAAAACATATTAAAAGATTATTACTCAGATCTTTCACTAATGTATCACGATATAGTCAGAATATTTACAAAGCTCTAAAAATGAAAGATTCCTTATTGAAGACAGGAAAAATGCGAAAGATCTTGGAAAAATTCCAAAAAATTTGCCAACCAACCGATGGGCGCTGTGTTTTTTGCTTACGTATTTAATTTTTTTGTGTGATAAGCCGACTATTTGTGGATATTACGACATTGTCCAGTTGCTCTAGTTCAATGTCCTGGCTCAGATACGTCCGGTTGTGTAAATCCCGAAATATATAAGTATAATCCTAAAAGACCTACAATTGTCACCAACTATTTTTTGGAGGAAATTTGTACTTACTTGTAAGCCAAATTTCATGTAAAAATGCCAGCGTTGCAAAATAAAAAATGTAACGATTCGTTGAAGATATACTGGATTAAGATGTGAAAAATTGTAGAGATCCCCCAAGGAGCATGATCTCCTTTGGGCATGTGTGCATTGCTGAATTCTGAATATCTTCAACTTTTCGTCAAATGTTTTATATGTTGCAATGCTTTTCTTTTTAAGATTATAAATTATCTTATTGTTAAAATAATTACAAGTATTGATGGTTAATTTAAAAAAATTATAATGAATTAAACAAAATAGACACAATTTAAGGTATGGGTATGTGCAGGGTGTCCCAGCCTTTGAGCAAAGTAAGTTTATTATTAAACGGCATTATTTCTACAGGAACTCAACGTGCATATTCTAAAAATATTCACCATTATACAGAGTGCGCCAGAAAAGTTGCAGCGTAGAAAACAACTTTTTTCTAATGGAACACCCTATATTTTATTTTATTTTTTAATTCTTTTCTCAGCGACTTTTTGTTATATTAAATATGGAGGAAAATTGGACATTTTTTTAGTTATTCGGCTTCAACGATGAAATGTCTTATTTTTGCGGTGTTAAGAATGCGAGTATTTCTCCGTCGTCTTTAGACATAAAATTTAGAATTTTGGTAGGAGAAAGGACTAATACTAAATCAATATCCGCTCTGCAAACTATTTGCCTTTTAAACTACAAGGTGATCCTAATATTCGTCCAAATTATATTATTTTTAATCTCAGTTTATTGTTAGAGCTATTTATTTAGGATAAGAAAACTCGCGACTAAACTTCGACAAAAATTTAAAAAAATTCGACGAGAAACTTCTGTATACTCTCTTATACTGTATAAGTAACACTCTCAATACTGTGTGTCATTTAAGAAAAAGTGTCTTTTTAAGCTGGAAAATTCTTCAATTTGGACAATAAGTTTGATCTCCTGTAGTATCAAAGATAAATATCTTTTTAAATATTTTCGATAACTATATTTATTTTAATTGTGCATTTTTACGCAGCTAATTCCAATAATTTGAGCAGAACTTGATTACATGGTTTTGCTAAGATAACAATAAGAGATTTTAAGCCATAAAACATTAACGGGTATTGAGCTAATTTTTACTTTCTGTGTGGGTTGACTCATATATTATCGTAAAGTCTGTTGGAAATGTTGGAATAATCCCAAGCTAGCTACAACCAAGAATCAATTCGCAATGATAGAAAATGTGTTAGTTTAGTGGATGATATAATTCTTGGGTTTGTACAGTAGGTATTTCTACACATGTTTGCGACTTCATTTTATTAATTTGTTATTTTTAAATAAAATTTCAAGACTATTTTGGAATCAATCTGTTTTTGAGTTGGCTGAGTCAAGCCTATTACAGAACCATTTAAAATGTGTTTGAATCGTCGAACTAAAGAAGCTGGATGAGATGACCCAACTGATTAAAAGAGTTTTAGGTATTGAAGGTTTGAATAAATTTTTCCTCGTATATAAAATTTTGCGAAAAATATTTTTATTTAATAAAAATGAGCTAAATGCAAATATTATGACATTAAAAGCATAGCTGTGCTACGGTGCTAGTTATTTTTAAAGACTCAATTATGCTTGGTGGAAATGGGAGCAACCAGATATCTGTTCGTTTATTTTTAAACATTGAAAAATCCAACATTGTTGCCGATATTCCAGCTGGACCTCAGAACTGGACATGTTTATAGTCAACAGGTGAATTTGATCGAAACTAGAAGCTTAATCAGATCGAGCGCCTAAATTAGTTTTTTCTAAACTTATACAATGTTCGTGTCTCGGGGTGATTTTACTGTCGAAAAGTCTATCTGTTTTTTTTTATAAAAAGTAAGCCATGCTTTTTGGTTTTTTTTTATCTTTTATTTGGTTTTAATCAAATAACTGTGTTCCATAGGTTATCTAAATTACTTAAAAATTTCAAATGCTTCAAGGCAACTGCATCGGTTTCAAGCTCGTGTATAGAAGAATATATTCAAATAACGTGTGTACGGTTAAAACATATAAGCAGAAACCCAAAAACATATACGGATTATTTAAAAAATATTTCTGCCAATTCTTGTTTTTTATTAACACATTTGTGTGAGTGTCTCGAGAACGGTTTAAAAGGAAATGTTAAGGGGTATTAATGGAGAATGTTTTCAACAAATCAATTTGTTTTAAAACCAATTGATTTGTAGAAACAAAGAGAATCAATTTGTTTTAAAACGAAAATAATAACACCAAGCACGAGTTAATATATTTTTTTGAAAAGTAATAAAAATGGACTTTCGGAAAATTGTTTTGCAATTTGAAAAATATTTAAAACCAGTAAAATTTATCAGGCGTATAAACGTCATGCCATAAAATTGGTCATAAAGTTAAATATATAAGGTTTCGTTTATAAATAACTATCAACTTTCACTTCATGCTCTTGAATAACAAACAAAATAGATATTTACTTTGGCCCACAACTGGCAACATTATTAGAAACTAACATGCATAATGTTGTTTAGCGTAGAGATTGTCTTAATGTTCCCTGTCCGTGTCTATCAAAGACCAGCTTCGTTAATAATAAGAAAAATATATGAAAAAATGCAATAAAGTTCTTAGGTGTGAAAATGGAAGAATGATTTTTTCATCATTTCAACCAGTGAAAGTTGGAATTATGAAGCTTTTGTCCAACAATATCTGGACCTCATACAGCATTTTTTTGGCTCAGAAGCAAAATTTTCCAGAAAACAATGAGTCAGCATGATAAACAGTGGAAAATGTGAAATAGTTATGGAAAACTATGAAGCGGGACAGATAACTGAAACGAATCTTAACTTTTTATAGTTAGCCAATGTTTTCTTATTTTTTAAGCGGTTGAAAAGAAAACGAACATTAGCATCATCAGAGTTAAAGATTACTAAATTAAAACGAATAACAAAAGTGAAACGGAATGGAAATAAATAATTATGGAAAAAATCGCAGTTTGTAGAAAAGGTTTGAAAAAATCGTTGGGAAATACTTTTTAATCAGGCAGAAGCATTTTGCTTAAATCAATTTTCCGGAAATCAACAAAAGTCTAAATAGAAATTTTCGATATAAGTATGTATAGATGTCGATATTTGACTCTCAGGTGCCCCCAGAACCGGTTTCGAGCCTGTTAGTTCTCATCAACTGGGTTTAGCCTGAACATTATTCTCTCTAAACCTGCACTTTATTTCACACAATGTAAAATACGGCAAAATAAAGTGCTGGTTTCGAAAGTACTATTTCCAAGTTAACCCTCACTCTGCGGTTCTAGGCGTGCCTGAGATCAACACATCTCGAAATTTTATCATACTTATAATTGTATTTTCTCTTAGGAATATTGTTTATTTTTCGAAAATTCATCTAAGCATAACACAATATTTTTTTAAAACTATGTCTGCAAACCTTTCCCTTTTTGAAACAGTTATTTATAGACGTTCCAGTTCCTTTGGAATGAACTTAACCGCTAGCAAAATCTGATTTATTTGCTGAAGATGCTTATTTAAGGAGAAAATTAAAAATCGTCTGAACATTTTTACTGTCCAGTGGCGAGTTATGTGAGTGAAATTACTCGTTCACTTATGGTTCCGCTCATATTTTCATATGCAAAACAAACATGGAGAGAACTAATTCGGCTTCAATTGCATTAAAATATTCTTATGGGAGCGATTTTTTTTATCAATGCTGCATTTGATAATAGCCAGTTTTCTTTAAGGACGGAATATTAAAACAATAATTTGTGTAAATCATAAGCTTTTTCATCCGAATTGTGTTAGATTTCTTATAAACATTTGGCAAGAATTATTATATTCTTTTCCTTCCTGGGTTTCAGTCAAAGTGAGAAATAAAATTTTTATAACGTTTCGGCGAGACAGCAGCGCTATCATCAGATTTATAATTCGTACAAATTCATAATTAAGAAATAATCTATTCTTTTAGGTCCCTGCTGTCTTGAAACCTCAAATTTATTCACAATTCTACTAATCTCTGGCAATACGTGGTCATTATTCCAAAATAGATCGAGTTTTATATTTTTGAGAATTTTTGGCATTCATTCTATAATCCCAGGTTAACAAATTTTTCAGTTAGTGCAACTCCCCCAATCGTTGCAACGCATTCACTTTATTTAAACAAGTACTCAAAATAAAGGTCAAATACTGCGAATTACACACATAAGCGACTAGTTGAATTTTCTTTAAAGCAAATTTTCAAATGTTGGCAACGTGGCATCGGAAAATTCACACGCAACGTGCCTCAAATCCCAGCATTCTCAGTCCTTTGGCAATGAAAACTGATTTCCATTGCATCACACTGCGGGAGGATACACAATACGACAACCAAATGTGGTTATGCGTAACTCACACTAATGTTTGTCATCGTCGACTGTATCAAAAGCCTTTCGCAGATCTGCGAAAACTCGGCCCACTTTCCATCGGTCTTGGCAATTGGTGATAAAATTAATTGGTTTTAGTTGAATAATTGTAATGAATTCACGGCGTTTTAAAGAAAACATGCTGCTGAATAACAATGATTTTTGCATCGCTCTGCATAGAACATTGAGGTGTCGGGGTCCTTTTTTTCATTTTTCCTTAACGGGCTTTTTGTTAAATAGGAATAGGAATGTTGCAAAGAGACGGCGAAACATTCAATTACATAAATTTCAAAATTTTGCTAAGTATATTATGTAATCAAGATTTAAGACATTTGGTTCAAGTTGGGCAAAATGAGAAATTCCGGGAAGCCAGAGTTTAAGCAGCAAGAAGAGTTTATTCTGGAGTTTATCTAAAGCTGTTGTAATATTTGAAAAAATTGCGTATTTTTTATTAATTAACGACCAGATTAAGTTCAGTTGCTAATTGAATTAACCATAATTAATTAAGATAGACAGCAGAAAAGAATACTGCCCCAAACCAATAGATAATAATTTCGACGTGGGGATAAATATTTAAATGTTGAAAAAAATAGAATCGTGTAGGTAGCGTCCACCATATTTAAATACCACCGATGTTCAAGCAGGTGGCGCACCTTGCTCTCCATAAATTTGAATGTTTCGCAGGATTTAGACTGATCGGCTGATTCATAATTGGAAGGTGAAATTGCCATTGAAGCACTTCTCATTTTCAAACACCTCACTGCCACTGAACCACTAGGAAATGTCCTTGCACAATATCACTGATTGCGTCCACCACCCGGAGTCTCGATCTTTGAAAGGCTTTTGATACCGTCCAAACTGAAGAATCCCCAACGGGGCAGGGTAAGTAAGCTGTACTTACACCAGAAGACCGCAACGTATCCCTTTTCTTGGAGCACGCGGTCCAGCTGTTTGGCAGTTACTTCTTCGATGACGGCGGAGTCCTGGTGCTGCGGGGGGCTCCGTTTAGCCGCCACCAGCGCCACTAGGAGCAGCCACCTCAGCATGCTGCAGCCTATCACGACTACGTCGTCCGCTGATGCTGACTGAGTTGGAAAGGACGGCGTCGCGACGCCGGGGACCTCACTAGGCCACGGACGTCGCTACCTTAATCACATCACCGATCACAGGAGTGGATTTAGCTCAGAAAAAAAGGAATTTGAGCAATCCCGCCTACTCATTAAAGAGCCCATTCAGATGAGCTGGGTGCTATGTATAGAACACTTGAAGATGGTTCAATGTTGGTGACGTTCTTCTGGATAGAGTGAAGATTTGCTATGTTCAAAGCTTTCGGTGATCAAGGAAAGGTTGCGGTCCAACATTTTAAATTTAGGTTCCGGTATGGTTGCGGTTTAAAAAATATTTTCCAGTACGGCTCAGATCCGGTTCCGGCTGCAACTTAACTTTTGTTTAAGTGACCGGTAATCTTGTTAATACTTAAGCAAGCACGTATGACTAAGCTTTTCCTTGTTTTTTGTTCCACTTTATAGGATTTTAAAATTATTTCAATTAGCTTTAATTTTTTGTTATTCAGGGGAAAGTTCCAAGAAAAAAATCCTCAGAATCCCAAATATACATTGATTTCAAATATTACATGCGATAAGCTGTACCGAAAAAAAAACAGAAATAAAATACTATTTCGGTTCGGGTTTAGCCCACAGACTGTTAATATAAAATATGTGTTCAGCTTCGGCCCAAAAAAAAAAACGATCCGTTCCCGTTGCCGTTATGCGTCCATATCGCTTCCGACAAACTTTTTAAAATTTGCTTTAATTATTATAAACAATATTTATCTTTAGTAAGCTTAATCTTAGTAATGAACTATAAAAAGTTGTTTTTTCTCATTTAATTACTAGCGGGAACTTTTTCAAATCTTCTAGTTTTAACGATCATTCGCCATTCAGTCCAAAATTTCAGCATGGAGAGACGAAGATTTTATCGACTAACCTTGTAAAAATTCTTTCAAATATTGAAACTGAAATGCAATTGTTCTAAAGAACCAAAAAAGAAAAACTACCGCCTATTAGGCTAATTAATTCATTACAATAACACCCGGTAATTATAAAGAATAACTTTCGATTGGAATTTTGTGTTTCTCATTTACATCAACTGAAATATATTTGGGGGCTCTGCAAAGACCGAAAATTTACAAGTGAATAGTGTTCGGTAGTGCTTAACAAGCGAGGAAATGGCTATGCATCCAGATTGGTCATCAGATAGTGATGATAGTCTTTTTGATGACGATGGGGATATTTATTTTAAGGTAACTGTACAAAAAAATACTGCACTCATTAGTTTTAAAAACTCGGTCCTTTTCCAAAGGAAAAACTTAAACTTATGAGGGCGTCAGATATTCCCCATGAGCTCAGTGAGGAGGAAAAGCTCAAACAGACATTAAATTATCTTTACAATGCGATCTTCTCGGGATGTGTGGAGAAGGTTCAAGAATTAATATCAACAGGTACCAATTATTTATTAAACCCAATTTCTTCAAATACCCTTTCTTTGTGTACTTATAGGGATTAATGTTAATTCTGAGCTGCGAGACAAGTGGACTAGCATTATGCTAGCAGCGAGTTATGCAAATGCAGATATTATCAAGCTTCTTATAGAATCTGGGGCTAATATCAACCAAACTAGAGGTAATGTGTATCTTATTGTTTTGTTCATATTAATACAGAACGGCTTGCGATGAAAAATAAAGGGGCATAGAGAATGGATCAAAATTGTGATCCATTCGTCAGGGACTTTTAATGGACTGAATAAAAGACAAACAGCGCAATTGAGTTCAACCAGTTCAGTCGTTTAAAAAGTCCACAAGGGTGTGGTATAGGGGTTAAAGTTGCGAAACCACAATCGCAAACTTGAAAATGGATTTGGCAGTTTAATAGGTTTTTTTTGTGGAAACACGAACTACAGTTATGTCGTATGCGGTAGATTTGTGCGTAAGTGCGAGTCAGCCCGCGGTTTCCACTAGCAAAGGTTTGTTGTTCACGCTCAGAGGGCTGACGAACTTTACACGATCTTTAAAGGGGCGGTTTAAAAAACTGTCTACTTCGAAGATAATTAATTTCGCAATAAAGCCAGATAGGAAAAATATATTTTAACTTATTTGCATGCCCTATTTTCGATCATTAGTTTCCGACGGTCTTTATATGATATTTTAAAAGAATCCACATAATATGAAAGTCATTAAATAGTTTACTGGGTTTGAACACCCGCTTTCATATACAGTAATAAGCTTCGTGATATACAGGGTCCGTCTTTGGTTGCTTACACTAGAAGTATTCGCAAAACAGAAACTACCAGAGTTCTGAAACTTTCAATACAAGGTAATGATGTTGGGGCTAACTCATCTAAAATATTGTCAAGGCGGTACCACTTCCGGTTATACCGGAAGTAGGTACTTGCTCGCTTCTTTTAAATGGAATACCCTGTATATTATTACATTTTTGAGTTCTCTGAGTACGAAATTTCAACCGTTGTGGAATAATATCCATTTTTCCAAAAAAATTGACAGGTGCAGGCTTGGAAATAATTCGTTGTTCCGCCTATTTGGGTCAATACATTTCAATTTAACTTTAGCTTGTTGTAGCCAAAGGTGCCATGTCTCAATGTGCAAAAAATTAGTTTTGCATCTCTTATAAAAAAGACGTTATGGAAAATTAAACTTGACTCAAAAAAGGCATATTACCCAAAAAATTCAAATAGAAACCCCTATTTTTTTTCTATTCAGATCGATTTAGTGACAAAAATTAAGGCAAGTTTATAAAAAGGTTTATGAGGCTAAACATAACAGTTTCATAGTTATTTTCAATAAACTACCAATTTACTATAATTTTTTATTACATATTTATTATTTCTTCAATTTTTAATTACAATATATGTTCAAAATGTTGTCCGTTAGATGCAAGGCATTGTTGAACACGCCTTGTAACAGCTCCATTTGTAGCTCTTTGAATCTCTTCAGGGGAAAGAGAGTTAAAGGCATTTCGCACCCTTGCATTGCAATCTTCCAATGGTGTAGCATAAATAAGATCTTTAATTCGACCCCAAAGATAAAAATCAATGGGCGTAAGGTCAGGTGACCTAGGTGGCCATTGAAAGGGACCGTTATTGGCAAACCAACGATCTTCAAAAATTTCGGAAAGTTTTATGGAAAAGGCATTGGTGCTGTGAGGGGGCGCACCATCTTGTTGGTACTATGAAATGTCCCGCTCTACATTATTTATTCTGGGTTCAATTCCAGTATTTAAAATTTCAAGATAAATTTTTCCTAGAAGCTAAATACATACATACAGTAATTATAAAATGCATAAGTCAACTATTAACTATTAACCTCTCAAATTTTCGTTGTAAAAATAGACGTGAAAAATTTCGTTATTACGAACAGCACTAAACACATTAAAGTTCCAAATTTCTTGAAAATGAAATTCGCGAATATGATTGCTATTGCCGTTATTCCAGTAATGCAAGTTTCGTCTATTAAACATGCCATTTTTAGTAAATTTAGATTTGTCCGTCCATATAATATTACTCAAAAAATTTGGAATTTCTTGTATTTTTAGTAAAATAGTCTCACAGAAAGGAATGCGTTTCATGAAATCGGCTTCTTTCAAATGTTGAACTAGTTGCAAACAGTATGGTCGAAATTTATGTTTTTTAAGAATCCTCCTGATGGTCGCTGGTGTCAAACCAATCCCAATTTTCGCGTAATATGCACGGAAATAGGCTAAAGTGGTTATCTCATTTGGCTCGTTATCAACAGCAGTTTTTCTTCTGGATGCAGAGTATTTAAATGTGCCAAACTGTTCCAAATTTTGAACCAGACGTCTTACAGTATCCGCTGATGGTCGGAGACGCTCTGGATAGCGTTCGATAAAAGTTCTTACTGTTCGCACTACAATTCTATGACATTCTCCGTGAATTAGTATTAAATTTAAATAATCTTGATTAGGAAATCCAAGTCGACCCATTGCGTCAGATTAACACAACATTATAAATAATTTACTGAAACTGACAACGGCCACTCCTGATGTATGTATGTAATTGTGTTTTTTAGCTCCCCAGATAGCACAAAATATTACATACATATTTAGGAAATATTTATATGTTTGCTAAATATTTCAGATCAAAAACAAATATTTCTTAAATATTATTTTTTAAATATTTGTTTCTAATATTTTTTTAGCATGAAACAAATAAGTTATTAATAATTTTCTTATTACATAATACTTTTTGTACCTATATATAACAACCTTAACACCCAAAAAGTTACTAATATATTATTTTAATAAATGTGAACAAACTTTAGAACATATTATCTGAATTTTCATTGATCAATGAATAGCAAATATTTCAGAGCAAAAGGAAATATTTTTTAAATA